GAGAGAGAGAGAGAGAGAGAGAGAGAGAGAGAGAGAGAGAGAGAGAGAGAGACTAGTTCACATCCTGTTTGTATTTTTCTCTTTGTGCCTGCATACACTTTGTGGGTTTGTATATGTAATCCTTGTGTCCACCTCTGAGTACATATCCTTTGTGTTTCTGTGTCTGTATACTGCGCCTGTCTGGGTATCTCTATGTATGTTCTGTTTATATATGTCCTCATGTGTCTCCGTGAGCGTCCATGTGTCTCTGAGAATGGAGAGACAAGTCCTTGGAGACAGCTTGGGATGCTGAGTCCTGGGGAGTCTGTCTGCTCTGGCCTTTTCTGGTTGGACAGGTATCCTAGCAACACTTCTGTGAGTTGCCTAGCAACCAGGTCCCCATCCTTAGAAAAAGAGCAGGGTCTGGCTGTATGTGGGAGATCTGGCTCTCATTTTGTCCAGACAGGAAAAACAAGCCTGTGATCTGATGATGGCTAGAGACTCAGCATAGGATCCCTAGCCTACATGACCTTAACTTATGGCTTTTTCTCAGTGGACTGTGACCCCCATGCTGGCAAAGAAAGAGGTTCCTAGGAGCTTAGCATCTCTGTGTTTTCTAAGATCTAATTCTGGGACTTAGCTGTGGTGTAGCTCCAAGTGACCAGCAGACTTGGCTTCTCCTTATCCCTGCCATGTTGACAGGCAGCTTCAGACTTCAGAGGCGTGCTGCTTTCATTTGTGTGAGGATAATATGGGTGGCAATGTGTAGTGGGGGTTCCTGGGTTCAGTTTTGTCTTGAGCTTAGTGTATATTAGGTATAAACAGCACATAGTAGATTCAGGGCAGTACTGGGTCCTGAGTCCAGACAATCTCTTGCTTATTTTCAAGAAGGCCTTTACTTGGAGAATTAGCTGGGTCAGGATATTGCTGTCTATTACTGTGGTACTCTACCTTACTGGATACCTGGCTGAGGACAGTTCTGGGCAGGAAAGCTAGCAAAATCTGGTCTGGGCTAAGTTGTACAAAACATTTACCAGTGGCGGTGATGCATGTAATCCCAGCACTTGGGAAGCAGAGACAGATGTATTTCTGAGTTCCAGGACAGCAAGGCTACACAGAGAAACCCTGTCACTAACCTGTCACCCCTCCAACAAAACAAAACAAAACAAAACAAAACAAAACAAAACAAAACAAAACAAAACAAAACAAAACAACATTTGCTTCACATCTACCTCTAGGTGAGCATTTCTCTGTATAAATCTTGAATGTGTTCTTGTGTCTAACACTGTGCATGTATACATGTCTGAATTTCTGTTCATGTCTCCATTTTCGTGTTTATGGATGTCCCCATTGTGTGTCCCAGCTCCTGACTGTGTCGGTCTTGGGTGAGTCCATCACATTATATGTTCTCTAATCTCTTGTCTGTCCCCGCTTGATGTGGAGCCTAGGGGTTCTGGGCTGGTGATCTTCCTTTTTTTTTTTGATTTCCTTCTCCAACCTGCACAGCCCCTCCTTCTCTCAGCCGCAGCCTCTTCTGCCCCTCCCCCCTCTGGCTGCCGCACTGGCTGCTGCGTCTAGTCAATATCTTATCTTCGGAGCAGGAGCTAGAAGCCTTTCCTAGCCGGAGAAGACCCCAAGCTAGAGTGAGAAGCATTGCTCAGTTCACTGTGCTCCTGCCTGCCTTTCTGCTAAGCATTAGGGTCTATTTTGGCCCAGCTTCTGAAGAGGTTGTGTGTGCTGTTGGAGGTAAGAGGGGTTCTAGTTAGGGCTCCTGCAGCTGCTGACAGAGTTGGGGGTGGGGGAGCACTAGGAGGTAGCTATGTGAAGTGCCTGAGCCCTACGCATTTCTGGGTAAATTCCCTGTCTTTTGTGCTCCAGTGTGCTTTAGGATGGTTTGGGCATTTTTTGTATTTGGCTGGCTGTGAGCCCCCGAGTCTTGGTGGGTGGACATGTGTGCTTATGTAGCTACCTCCATGTTGCTTCTGTGTGAGTCTATAACCCTAATATGAGGTAACTTTGTGGGTAAATGTGCTTCCATCCCTTTGTGTGTGCCATCATGTGCCCATATGTATGCTTTTGTTTGTGTCTGAGTGTCTATATGTGTGCCTAGTGTTTGTGGATGCTCATGAAGGTGTTCATGTGCCTGTTAGTGTAGTTGTGCTGTGTTCTAAGGCCTCAGTGGACTGTGTCTAGCACTGTGGTCACTTGTTTCTGTACCCTGTTCCAGGAATTGTACTGAGTGGCTTTGCAGGGTGACAGCATGGAGTCCCTCTTTCCTGCCCCATTCTGGGAGGTCTTGTATGGCAGCCACTTTCACGGGAACCTGTCCCTCCTAAATGAGACTGTACCCCACCACCTGCTCCTCAATGCTAGCCACAGCGCCTTCCTGCCCCTTGGACTCAAGGTCACCATCGTGGGGCTCTACTTGGCTGTGTGCATCGGGGGTCTCCTGGGGAACTGCCTCGTCATGTATGTCATCCTCAGGTAGGCTGGGCCCCATCAATCTGTGAAAGGTGAACCCGAGGCAGGAAGCTGTTCTGGATGAATCTTGAACAAGTATGGATTTTCTGCTTGCTCTGTAAAATTTCTTTCCTCTCTGTTCAAGGGGGATGATTACTCTTGAAGTTCAACTCCTGTTCTGCCCCCATCTGTCTCAGACTAGGTGTCACCACCTGGAGGCTTGGTGCCACAGATAGATCCATGCCATGATGTCTGTGTGAATAACCATGAGTACACAGGATCCTGGGATTCTCAAAGAGAAGAAGAGGGGCTGGTGCTGGGCCTGAAGCCCTTGTTCATTGGCTTTTGGGATCCCTGCTCATGGTGGATGTCTTTAGCTGAGCCCACACTCTACTGGTGCTCAGAAGTGGGAAAATTTGGAGGACTAAAAAGAAAGGCAGCAGTAGAGTCGACAGGGGACACTGATGGGGGCAGTGCAAGGTGCAGTTCTTCGGACAAGAAAGCTGGGCAAGGAGTATGCAATTGGTAAATGTGTCGTGGCAATGATGGTCTCTGTTTTTTTCCAGCTGGGAGGGCATTGAGGGGGACTGGAGACAGCAGGTGAGGACTTGAATGCCAGAATGGGGACACCAAATTCTTTGGACATTGGGAAGACATGGGAGGTCCTTGAATGGTGAATAACTAGAGCAAGGTTCTTCACTGAAAGATATTTCCTCTTTAAAAAAGATTACTTTGAAGAACGCAGTCATGGTCCCCCTTGATGGTATTATGGTAGGTGTGGTATTGGTAGTGGAGGAAGGGCAGTGCAGTGCCCATACTCTGGCTCATCGCAATCCTCTTAGTATTTCTGAGCAATTGTTTTCTCCATTTGTTAGATGGGAAATGTGGATTATATAATCATATATAGGTGCATCTGCACACTTGTGTGTATATATATGCTATGTGATTAGACAGTATAGTAGTAGGAAAGGCCTTCCAAGTATTGACTTTCAGCAGAGGACCCTTGTGGGAAACTATTCTATGACCCATGTGCCTCATGGTTAGAGAATATGTCTTTGTCAGGAAGTGCAGCAACCTGGGACAGTTTATGAGCTTTGCATTCCCTTCTTGTCATCAGCATTTCTCTCTTACATTGTCCTCTGCATTTGAGATATTAAAACTCTTGAGCCATTTACTGCATTAGAGCAGACAAGGAATGCCATCTTTTCCACCAGCATCCCCAGAGAACTAGTCTCAGGAACTGCTGTGGCCACACTGGCTCGGGAGACAACACACAGCATGTTTGAGTTGGGTGTCTGCCAGAAGTCAGAAAAACCTGCTCTGAGACCCATTTTCATTTTGCACCTTAACAGTTTTAAGCTTTATGAAAGCTACTTAGCTCCTCTGCACCTCAGCTTTCTTCTCTACAGAGTAGGGATTAAATAACATTTTTGGGGGGGAGGGGAGTAAACCTCAAATGAGATAAAATCTATGTGAAGAGCTTGGCTCAGATATCTACCATTACCATTGACATTTTATTTATTGTAGTTAAGGTCTCTGGGATTAATGTCTAAGAAACAGAATTTAATCCCAGATTCCCTGATAGCAGCTAAACGTCATAGACTACTATTATCTCTAGTTCTACCACTGCCACACCACCCTAACCACTATAACTACCACCATAATCACTATAATCACCACCATTACCACCTCTATTGCTTTCATCACCATCATCACTATAGTCACCCTTCCCTACCACTTTCATAAACATTAATTCATTCCATTAATATGAATTACTTATAATGTTCCCAGCATGGTTCCCAGTACTTGGATACAATCAAACCTAACTAGCACATCTGTTTTCTTTACTAGAATTAAAAATATATTGTGTTTATTTATGTGCATGTGTGTGTCTGTCTGGATGTGTAGGTCAAATGAGAAGATTGGTTTTCTCCTTTTACCACATGTGTCCTGGAGATAGAACTCAGATCATCAGAATTGGTAATAAGTGCCCTTACTGGCTGAGCCATTTGGCTGGCCCACCATTTTCTGTTTTCATTGCTAGACAACATTGTTGCACTTGGAAGATCTTTGATGAACTTTACAGGCAGTGCCCTGAAAAACCCTTGAGAGGAGTCTTAAGAGAGACTGAGAAGAGAAGACAGCATCTCTCTCTCTTAATTCCTACCACAAACTCACATTCAGATTAGCTATGCACTCAGGTACTCCTTCATGCCCCAGCTTTTCCAGGGTAGTCCTGTCATAGATTTGGAATCTTTTTATAGATGTCATAATCACACGTGAGAGCTTGTTAAAGGCCCAGGCTCAGTGGACCTTGGGTGTAGTGCAGGATCTGCCATTTAATAAGCTTCTTTGGAGACTCTGAGGTTGAGAGATTCAAAGATGATGACCCTCTAGGTGGTCCCTTTGCTGCCAAGTCTAGCTAAAATGGCCAAATGGATCATTTCTTCTCCTTGTCCTCTACAGGCACACCAAGATGAAGACAGCTACCAACATTTACATATTTAATCTGGCACTGGCTGATACCCTGGTCTTGCTGACACTGCCCTTCCAGGGCACAGACATCCTACTGGGCTTCTGGCCATTTGGGAATGCACTATGCAAGACTGTCATTGCTATCGACTACTACAACATGTTTACCAGCACTTTCACTCTGACTGCCATGAGTGTAGACCGATATGTGGCCATCTGCCACCCTATCCGTGCCCTTGATGTTCGGACATCCACCAAAGCCCAGGCTGTTAATGTGGCCATATGGGCCTTGGCTTCAGTGGTTGGTGTTCCTGTTGCCATCATGGGCTCAGCACAAGTGGAGGATGAAGGTCAGTGTGTGGTCCTCCTCCCTGACCAATTAGTTCCCCATGATTCTTGCTGGCCCCTCTGACCCCATTTCTCTCCTACAGAGATCGAATGTCTGGTGGAGATCCCTGCCCCTCAGGACTATTGGGGCCCTGTATTTGCCATCTGCATCTTCCTTTTTTCCTTCATCATCCCTGTGCTGATCATCTCTGTCTGCTACAGCCTCATGATTCGACGACTTCGTGGTGTCCGTCTGCTTTCAGGCTCCCGAGAGAAGGACCGGAACCTGCGGCGTATCACACGACTGGTGCTGGTAGTTGTGGCTGTGTTTGTGGGCTGCTGGACACCTGTGCAGGTCTTTGTCCTGGTTCAAGGACTAGGTGTTCAGCCAGGTAGTGAGACTGCAGTAGCCATCCTGCGCTTCTGCACAGCCCTGGGCTATGTCAATAGTTGTCTCAATCCCATCCTTTATGCTTTCCTGGATGAGAACTTCAAGGCCTGCTTTAGAAAGTTCTGCTGTGCTTCAGCCCTGCACCGGGAGATGCAGGTTTCTGATCGTGTGCGCAGTATTGCCAAGGATGTAGGCCTTGGTTGCAAGACTTCTGAGACAGTACCACGGCCGGCATGACTAGGCGTGGACCTGCCCATGGTGCCTGTCAGCCCACAGAGCCCATCTACACCCAACACGGAGCTCACACAGGTCACTGCTCTCTAGGTTGACCCTGAACCTTGAGCATCTGGGGCCTTGAATGGCTTTTGGTTTAGGATGCTCAGTCCTAGAGGAAGACCTTTTAGCACCATGGGACAGGTCAAAGCATCAAGGTAGCCTCCATGGCCTCTGTCAGATTAAGTTTCCTCCCTGGTATAGGACCAGAGAGGACCAAAGGAACTGCATGGAAACATCCACAACACAGTGGACATGCCTGGTGAGCCCATGTAGGTATCCATGGTTCACTTGACTCTTCTCTGGCTTCTCCCTGCTGCCCTGGCTCTATGTGTGTGGGCTCAACCTGAGGTATTGTAGTGATCATGTAGTCACTACTGTGACTACCTGTTGTATACTATTGCTCTCAGCCTTTCAGTACTTCCACAGAACTACTGATCATGCCTGGTGTTGCCTGGTATTGCAGTGGGCAGCATTAATTATTTTTTTAAGTGAGACTGGCCCTTAAGCTTGGAGTTGCCTTGGAACATCATCTAGTTCTGACTCCACTGATACAGTCAGATTACCTGAGGTGGGTGAGCATCAGTGGGTTCTTGGATGGCTGTTTTCTGAAGCTTCTGTCCATGCTGTACTATGGAGTCTATGAAGGAGACTTCACACTTCATCTGGTACTGCCACTGCCTGCTATATCAACCTGGGCCATCTTCTCAGCAAGAGGCCAGCAGGGGGACAAGACACAGAGCTTCCCTAAGGCTCTTTCCCTCCAAATCCACTGTGAACTCTTATTCTACAGACTGCTTGGCAAGCCCTGCAGCTAGGTGTGTGGGAGGTAATCAAGAGAAAGCTTTGTGGCCTCTGTACGCTGCTCACAACATGGAGGCACCACGTGCTGGTCTTGGCTGCTTAGTACGGGCAGGGCAGAGCAAGAGAATATGCTCTCTCCACAGCCTACCACAGCTATCCAGCAGTCTCTTTTACTTGACATCAGAGGTCAGCAGTTGTACTGACAGAAGCATACTTGTAGGCTGGGAAGAGTGGCAGTCAGGATGTGTTCTATTCTATACCCATAGTGACCACCTGCTTAATTTATAGGGTTAGGACATATCTGAGTAAGGCCTGAGCTTGCTGCCAAATTGGAAGTTGGCATCAAATGAAGAGCTGGTATGAGAGCTGAAGCCTAAAATGGTTCATTTGAGACAATCTGCAAGGACTATTATGGTTTGGGGGATATTGGAAGAAGAGTCTATACTTTGGAGATCTATTTGAGACTTTACAGAAGAAGAGTCTTTGTAAATGCCCTTTCTATGGGTCAGATATCAAAATACCAGCAACTTTGGATAGAATCTCATCTTACACTGAGACCTTGGTCAGGTGGTTTCATGCCATGCAGAACCTAGGCTGGTTTCTGTCTTAGAGAAACCTGGCCTTAATCTTTCTGGGGAGACCAGGGTCCTTCCTATGACACTTGTGCAGGAGCCATTAGCTCTAGTGCGTTCTTGCTAATGGTAGAAACTTTGTGAATTTGTATATCTTTATGTATTTAAGCATGCAACAAGTGTCATTTCCATGCATGTAGCTAGCCCTGAACCTGCCTCTGGGGTAATGAAGGCATGCTCATAATAAACACTTACCCAGTGATCAGTCCTGTCCATAAAATAAGTGTTTTTGACTCCATCTACATAAGAGTAACTTCCTGGGTATTGATATGCACTGGAATGAGGCATGGGACCAGGCCAATGGGGTTTTAAACTTGTTCTGCCGTTAAGGAGCCTCTTGATTTATGGGAGGGAAACTAGTTCCTGGGTTGCACAGGCTGCTGCCTTTCCTTCTCCTAAGACAATAACTATCTTTTCCCCCTGCCCTCAGGGACAGTGGGTAGATGCCTTTCTTCACAGCTTATTTTTGTAGACTCACCATTTGAGCAAATCTAATGGAGTTATGGTGATAACAGAGCAGAGAACCCTATACTATTGAGATCTACCTCCTGGCTCTTGTCTGTGTAGGCCCAATCTGGCTCAAGTTGACCCTCAGGCAGATGGTCCTTGTCAGGTGGGCTTTGAAGAGGGTCTTATGTGCCAAACAGAGGCCTTGCTTCCAGTACAGGGCAGGTGAGCAAATGCTTGGTTTTATACAAGTTTTAATGACACCGTCCATTTGTTTTTTGTTTTTGTTTTAGTCTAGCAGTTTATAAGCAATAAATATGAATGTCTCACAGGATTAAAAGATGCAGTTCATGCAGGTGTGGTGGATTGGATTCTGTGAGATTATGTTTTTGTTGCATCCTTACTTTATAGAAAGATGACTCCAGAGCTGCATATGTCACATTAATAGTAGTAGTGAGGTGGTAGGGCTTCAACCTCATGACCTGTTCCCATAGCAAAGTCATCTCCTAACACCATCACACTGGGGGATAGGATTTCAAAATGTGAGTGTGTGTGTGTGTGTGTGTGTACACAAACACACCAGTAGTTCTTAACAAACACATTGGTTTCAAATAGAAATTCAGCATCAAGGGAAATTTTCCCTCCTCGATGAAATTATAGTCCCTAGGAGATTGTGTGCTCCTGATAGGTGGTGTAGTTCTGGGCTGCTGACCCTGGAGAGTGTCTCCAAGGAGGTTAGCCATCGGGGAGGAGCCTTAGAGATGAATATACCTCCCTGGCTCTCCAGGACTATGTACCTTCCCCATTCTCTCCCCATTCTGTCTAACACAGCCTCATCCCTAACTGTTTTTGTTCACTATCAGGCTTGATCAAGTCTAGTTTCTCTGAATCTGAGTTTCCTTCTCTGTGCAAAGAGAACCGTGCAGGCTTCCTCTTGGGGTTATGTAAAGGGCAGGATGTGTAGGATCATGTAGGTCCCAAGGGTCGTTCTACCTCAGAAAAGCCAGGCTTCATCAGCTGCTTTGGATGCTTTCCACCAGAGGGCACTGTAGCCCCAATGTAGGCCCAGCCAAGATCCATGACCAGCTGTGAGAAACAGCAGTGAGATTCGGGTACTTAAGTAGAGTTAGGATATCCTTGGCAGCAGGAACCAGAGTGTAGGGGTTTTGTGGAGTAAGTCAGACTCCTGAGTTCATGGAGAACAAAGCTAGTTCTAACAGGATCCTGGTGAGAAACACCCTTGGTCTAGCTGGCTAGCCTTGGGGAGTGACAAGAGAGGGAGACCATTCCCTTTGCTGGGCTGTGAGTGAAAATTAAGGTCTGTATAAGTACCACTTACTAAATGATTTTGCCACTAGAGCATTGAAGGAGACAAGGGTTTGGAATCTTCAGAGAAAATTTGGCTGGTACCTTCTCTGTGTGGTCAGCTCTGACAAACTAGAGCCAGCTGAGAGGCTATCCCCAAGGGTGCCTGGCTCTTTCACAGCCTGGTCCATTCACCAGTGTGTTCCCCTCCTGATCTTCATACCCACTCATCTTCCACTCACTCAGTTCTACCTTCACACATTCTTCACCCAGTACACCTGCTTTTGCCGCTGTGCCCTGAACACAGTTCTGGGAAGCAAGATGTTTTGCTGTATCTATTTATAAGGAGCTCTGGTCCTGAAGGGATTCTCTTACTCAGGAGCAGTGTGTACTAATTAGGCTTTGCTGAAGCAGGCACAGCTTGATCTCAGCAGAGCTGTGGGTGTGGGTGGTGGTTTAAAAAGTGCCCATAGAATGGCTGTCTTCAACCATTCCTCTCTAATATTCAGCCTGTGTCAGGGCTGAGAGTGGATTCAGAGACTAGATCACACAGCTGCTTGCCCAGTTTTCCTCTTGACTTTCTGATCCCCTGGTTCGTGTGAGAGTACTCCAGAAGCTTGTAGAGCATCCATGTTTTGCCAGGAGCTTTAGGGGCAGGACTTCTTGAAAGAGATCCCACCCATTATCTAGTCTCCAAAGGACCTAGACCTCTCCAGTGTTCTGCCTGAAGTCTCATGGGAAGTTGAGCCAGAGCATTTGAATAAGCTACTCCCCAGTTTTGGATCCTCAGAAGCTAAACACTTCTTATCTCTCAGCATCTAAATTTTTGTTGCACAACAATAGGCAATAGCTCAGGGGAGATATCAGGAGAATGACATTTAAGGGCTGCCCAGAGGTATGAACAGCAAAGTTGTCCAATAATGTCTGGCTTAGATGAAGGTCCAAGTTCTTTGGCAAGTTCAAGTACTATGGTACAAAAATTCTCACAGGTGTCATGAGGTGTCAGAGTCCTGGGTCATGACAGTATTTGGCTTTACTGCCAAAGTGTCCTTTTATAACCTGTCAGTTCTACAAAGGTTCCTGTTCTAGGACACATAAAGTACTAGCTGGGGAGCTATTTTTGTGTCCATCTTCTGTGGGTGATCATACTTAGGATGCTTGTTACCAGGACCAAATTTCCTGCTATTGTCTCCTTAGGGATGTGTAGGAAGCAGAGGTACAGAAAGGGAATGTCATGGTTGTTTGTATTTATCTGTATAGAGAACACAGGGATAAGTATGAAGACAGAATATCCCCTGGCTTGGTCAACCACTGCCCTTGGAGGTGGCAAAATAGCAAGGATGATCAGTCCTCCTGAAACAGGGTTATGGTACAGAAATTCTTGCAGAAGTTGTCATTTAGGAATGAATTCAAGAAAGGATTGAGGCATAAGTTGACGTAGCTGAGGCTGGTGATGGCATAGGAGATACCAATAACCAGAGATATGTGGAGCATGCCTGTAGTCAGAGCCACCACAGAGGCCAGGTGAAAGGGCATCCAGCAGAGAAAGCACATGGCCAACACAGTGCGGACCAGGATAGTTATCTTCCTCTTGGCCTTGCCCAGAACCTTGGTGCCAGAGTGGAGCTTCATGGTTCGAAATCTGTGCAGCAGGTCCACATATGACATGCAGATGATGCACAATGGCACTGCAAAGCTGAGAACCAATGTATATGTGTGGCTGGCCTGAAACCAGGCCCACTCCGGCCTCAGGAAACTTAGCACACAGATGGGTGCCTGTAACTCACTGTTGCAGACATGGGCAAAGGAGCAGAAGAGGAGAACCATGATGGTGACACCTAGCCAGATACAAAGGCTGGCAACTTTTGCCCCCTCTGGGTGTGCCTAGGCAATTGGCAAGATTGCACAGTGGCCAGCATCACTAAGTAGCAGCCCACACTCATCACAACCAAGGAGTAGATGCTGAAGAAGATGTTGTAGTAGTTAATGGTCAGCACCAGTTTGCAGAATGGCTCCCCAAAGGGCCAGTGCTGTAGCAGGTACTCAGTGATGTTGGCTGGGAGCACCAGCACAAAGAACCCATCAGCAATATCTAGGTTCAGGGCAAACACATTAGTTACTGTTTTCATCTTTGGTGCCCTCAGGATCACATAAATGATAGCCAAGTTACCAGTTAGGCCCACAGCATAGATCATGGAATACCTGTTGACAGGTTATGTTGGTAGGAGTTGGCAGGAGCATGTAGAGCACAGTAGCTCTGCATAGTGGCTCAGAGAAGGTGATATTGGGCTGGGTATTATTGTCCTTGGACAAGTTTGTGCTCATGGTAGTGAGGAAGTTGTTAGTAGCTTTGGCTGTTGGAGGACTCTGGGTACTCAGCAACCTGCATCATGGTAGAGCACAGAGACTGATATCCAGGCAGGGGCCTCCTGGGCTGGATTCTTTGAAAGAAACAGAAATGCTGCAACAGTGGCCACCTCAATTTCTCTGAGGTCATTCTATTTACCCTAGCTCTAGGGCCAGAGACAGCCTAGTAGGACACAGAGTTCTTCTTCAACTTCCTGGATCTAGCCCCATTTCTGGGTTCTGCTCATATAAGAGTAGTTGCATCCCTGGAGTGCTAAGTGGCCCAGAGCAACCCCACCTATCATCCCCAATATATAATAAGCAGAAGCAATGTTGTTGCCCATTTGTAGATGCACCTTTTAGGTCCTTCTCTGGATATTTTGGATCTAAAAGTTCCCTTCAGGAGTCCCCACTCTCCATAGTGCTATGTAAACACCTGATTTCCTAGGTATTCCACTGGCCTGTCTTCTGTCCAGTGCCTTATAGCTAGAAGATGATGGCCTTGGTGGGCTCTCAGTGTATAGGCAGCTGTGAGGTGAAGGGGGAGGTGTGACCCCTCTCTTCCAGCAGAGGTTTCGGCCAGTCTTGGTCATCTGGGAGGGTGGTTTCCAAGACCCACTTGCATGCCTGTTACCTCAGTCTGTTGGCTTCCCAACTTAGGCCTGGTTACAGGGAGAAGAGTGAGGAAAGCTACTGTTTTACTGAAGCTCCTGGAAGCAAGCCCTCCCCCCACCTTCACTTTCCCACCCAGTGGTGAACTAAGGTGCCTGCAGTTGATGGTCTTGATTCCATCCCCATGCTCCTTGTGCCTGTTCCACCATCCTCTGTGGTGTGCGTGTTTTAGAATTTTTCTCATTATTAATCTCTCAGGTAAGTTACAAATGGGTAGCTGAGAGATATGTTTTTTTTTTCACTTGTGTGTCTGTCTATTGAGAAGGCACACACAGGGGCTTCTGGGCTCTAAGGGTATTTCTGATTGTCTGTAGGCACTAGGGAAGCTGTGTACCTTTGTCTGAGTACATGCATCTTGGTAGATCTCATGCCTCCTCCTCCTCTTCCTCTTTCCTTTTTTGTTTTCTTTTTTTTAGGGGGGGCAGGGTTTCTCTGTGTGTAACCTTGACTATTCCAGAACTTCTTGACCACGGTGGTTTTGAACTTACAGAGATATACCTCCTGAGTGCTGGGATTAGACATAAACTACCACTGTCTACTTCTAAGCATGCACATAGTGTGTACATTGCATGTATGTGTGGGCCCATGTTTGCTTGCTTGGGGTTTCTGAAAGTAGCTCTGCACTTATATTCAAAGGAGTCTGTATGTATCTTTGTATAAATATTGGGCTGGAGGACTGCTTGTCTTCATATGAAGTTAAATGTTAACCATAGACAACCTATTTCTGTTTTTGTCTTTTACCAGCCATGAGAGGCCATGGAGAAAGGTGCTTGCTCTTACACTGGCTCCTGGCCCCTTCCCTGTGGCACTCAGGGAAACTACTGGAAGTCAAGACATTCTCTATATTCCTTGCATACTTTCTCCCTAAATGGGAACTGCTCAGTCAGTCCTACTTATGAATAGCAGGGCTGCCTCTCTGGCTGTGCTTTTGTAGCAGTGTTGTGTTGAAGATGAGCTGCCAGTTTAATTTGGGATTTTTTTGCTTTGTATACATACATATGGTGGTGGAATGGGGAAGATGGGGTAGTTTATTTTTAGCCTGGGGGGATGTGACTGTCCATTAAAGCTTTGCCCAGTGCTTTCTGGGGTACAAAGCCATCACCCCATATCCACAGGTCAGCTTCTTCTGTGAGTTACTCTCCCAAGTCTTTTTGTTCCATGTTTTTTCTGAGCTGGATCAGGATAGGAGTATGGACAGTGACCCTGAGTGCCTCAGGGTTACTGAGCCTGAGCTAGGTTAAAGAATACTAGGTGAGAGGAGTCATGGATGCTTTCTTGTGGATACTGCACTCAAAGGTGGATCAGCACTGGTTAATAGGTCTGTAGGTATTCCTGGAGGAGCACTTCATTTAGAGAAACTAAGGCCCCTGAGGTCAACCAACAGACATGGTCAGTAGCTATGAGGAAAGTATTAAACTGAATTTAATGAGTTGGGGGGTGCTTGTGGGATAAAACAGAGGTATTGGGTCTGTTCAGAGCTCTGGGAAACCAGAGATGTGACAGGTTCAGGCCTGTGTCAGGCTTGACTGATCTCAGATTCTTCCCCTGGCAAAAGGGAGTGATTAGGTCTTCTGTCATCTAATTTGTGTACTGAGTCTTCCTCCCTGTGAACCTTGTCAGCATCGAGCTGGCCCGTGCTCCTTGTTGTTATCATTACTACACATCTCTTCTTGTTCAACTTTACACACACTAACTATCTCACTCCCCACCTTTTCCCAGGGCTTGTTCTAGGCAACTCTTCCCTCTAGTCCAGGAGGGGAGTGGATCTAACCCTGAACCCTCTCTCATCTTCCAACCAGACTCCTGACTCCCTTTAGCCAACTCTTTCACCTCACTAGTATTCAGCCCAGTAGAAAAGTCCCTCCAAGACTTCTTTCTTCCTGAGCATGGCTTGGGGAGTGCCCTGGCTCCTCTTGGAAGTGGGTAAAAAAGGAGAAACAAACATGGTAATGGGGACCCTGTGGTAGGAGAAGAAGGGATGGGGCTGGGAATGATGTGGATTGGGTTACTGAGGGTTATCAAATGTAGGATCTAAGCTGTCACAGCCCTTATGGCCCAGGCTGCTGTGGGCGCCAGTCATCCTGGCATAGGTCCACATGTGTGGAGACCCCAGATGCCCCCTTTCCCCTCTACTCACACCTCACCTGTGGCCTCTGCAGCTTGGCAGCTGTCTGTATAGCTCTTACACTTGGGCTAAGAGAGCTGCTTTGTTCTTCTTGGCAGGGTATTGTCCCGGAGGAAAGCTTTGCTTCATGAAAGGATTTTCACTTTCAGAAATGAATTGGTCTTTGCAGCCTGTTGGGTGTGAGGAGAGAGGCTGTGGAGGGAGACAGGTGTCAGCTGTACAGAGTGGGGGTGGGGAAATGCCCTGCAGTGACAACCAGACTTGCCGGAAGTGTTGGGGCAGGGTTGGGAGGATGAGGTGGTTGAGTGTGTGGTGGGTTAGGAGTCTGGATGCTGTAGGCTTGTATCTGGTTTTCACGCGTGTATGTGTTTGTCTCTGGGCTCCAGAGAAGTGATCTTCCCAGGATAGAAGGAAGAAGAGGGTGTGACACCTGGCTGTTTATGTGAGCTAGGAACAGAGATAGCAGTCGGCAACAGGAAAGCTCAATTATAGGGCTTTATCCTTATCGTCATTTCATGTAGATATGGCAGTCAACCTCCATCTACTGTAACTAGGCACCTGGAGGTCCTACTACCTCTACAGAAGCGAACCAAGACAGAAATTGGTGGAGGAGATGATTTTATTTTTTGGGCTTGGGAAAATGGAATAGAGATGATGTATCTCTCCTTTATAAATTTATTTTTATTTTCTCTATAGTTTTTAATCTGCTCTGTTACAGTAGTGAAAAATAAATAAAAAGGATAGAAAGGATATGACTGCTATGGGGTATGGTGGAGGAGAAAGTTTATTATAGGTAAGTAGGAGAGCATGTGTCCCAGACACATTTGGGAGAGTCCAGAGTGGTCATGACCCTGAGGTCATGACCATGACCCTAAGGAGAGAGAGAAGAGGAAGGAGAAGGGAGAGAGAGGGGAACCAGGAGCAACAGCCAAGAGAGCAAAGGTAGAAAAAGGGATGGGTGACCAAAATGTCTTGAATATATAGAGAAGAACCTCTAGGGGAGAGGCAGCTCAGCCCCTGAGCTGGAGAGTTCAGGGTAGAGGGCAGCATATGCCAACCATACCCTGTAACAGGTAGGGACTGAGGGATACTGGGATGTCAAGTTTGCTTTGATATGTTAAATAGGCACCTCAGTTGGTTTTTTCAGGTTTGAAAGTTAACAAGTACAGGTATACTTGAGCATATACATATATGTGGCCTGTTTCTCTAAGTAAATCAAGGCTTTACCCTAGGCAGACACAAGCAACTCAGAGTCAGCTTGTCAGCTTCACTACAAAAATAGAACCGCTATGTTCTCTCTCTCTCTCTCTCTCTCTCTCTCTCTCTCTCTCTCTCTCTCTCTCTCTCTCTCATTTGTTATTTTGTTTTTTCAAGACAGGATTTCTCTGTGTTGCTCTGACTGTACTGGAACTCACTCTATAGACCAGGCTGGCTTGGAACTAGAGATCTGCCTGCTTCTGCCTCCTGAGTGCTGGGATTAAAGGTGTGAGCCACCACCACTGTCTGCTGCCATTTTCTTAAGGAAGTTGAGAAAGACTATTTGTAAAGCAGCGGAGCAGGACCCTTTTTTGTGCACAGGTTCTGGACTGTCCACAGTCTCCACTCTGCCAGAACTCAGCTGCTAAGGAAGAGGTTGGGTCCCCTTGGTGTTTGACACTATATGCTAATGGTCTAAGTCTTGTGAGCTCAGGGCTAGGGGAGCTGGGCTATTTGGATAGGGACTTCTGCTGATCCTTGGGTCCTGAGCTGTTCATCAATTTATAGGAATAACGCTGTAAATAGAGTTGACAGCTGAACTCCCCTGAGTATGGAGACAGGAACAGAATTATGTGGCACTGTCTGTTGAGAAGGAATTTCCTATGTATATACAGATTAAGAGCTTTTGGAGAACTGCAGGTGGAGAGGCTTCCTGTCAGGGCTTCAGGCCAGCAATTCTTTGGAGCAAGAGTGAAGAGCAGGAGTCTTTGCAGGATCCTTTCTTAGGGGATTGAATGGGACAATAGAGACCAGAGGTTGGGGTGATGTTAGTCCGGAGTCATGAGGCTGTGGGCAGCTGCAAGTTCAACAAGCAGGAGGCAAGGCCACCTGGTTTGGTGGACTCTGAGGCCTCTCCCAGGTTTTCAGGTTTCCTCTATCAAAGCTGGAGATTAAAGCTGTTGGTTGTCTGCTCCCCACCCCCAAGTGTGCTTGTGTAGGTGGCCAGTCCCTGCTCTGGGAACCTGCCTGTTAAGCTTCCAGTGTGACTT